CTGGAATCAGAAGAGAATTGTTATGGAAGTATCATGTGTTTGAAAGTTTGGATTTGTCTCTTCTTTTTGATGAGGAAAACGTATCTGATCACTGTTTCAGTCTGCATCTTTTCCCCTTTCCCAGTTTATGTTTGATTCGGGAACCTATAAACCTTTGGTTTCAAGTTTTGGACAGAGTATCAGTATCCTGCAGAGTTCTGAGTTTTCATTTTCTGTTATGCCTGTGTAATATAAAAACACGAAATAGAAAAACAGAGTCTTTCTGACATCTGGCTTGAAAGAGGAATGAGAGGCATGGATCATGAAATGAAGGAGACCTTCAAAAGAAGGAACAACTGCTTGCCACAAGGAAGGCAAGAAGCTCATGTGTGAGAGAGGTATCAGACTTGTAAACCTACCAGTAGAACTGGAAGTGAGCCAGAATCTAGGCTCTATTTCTGCTGATTTTGTCTTGGAGAAAAACAGTTTCACTTGCAATACTTCTATGACTAACACTTACACATGTTAAAAAAAAAACAACAAACAACCCAGACTCTTAATTCAGTCCAGTTGGGTGTTTTAATTGTGAGAAGAGCATCTAGTCCCATTCATATCAGAGGCTCCTTTTTTGTAAGGGTGGTGTTCAGCTTAAAATTTCAGTATTTTAAATAATTAATTGTACATTACAATGTTGGCCAGTATTCAAATGAGTAGAAATTGAAGAAAAAAAGAACATTTTTGCTCTTCCTGAAGTAGTAGTTACTGAGGCTCTTCTAATAAGTTCCTTAAAGTTGTCCAGTCTTATCCTAAAAGCCACAAGGTATGTATCTTCCAGCACTTCCAATTACAGTCTTGATTCTTTGTATTTAATATAATTTTTTTTCCTTTTGCTTCAGTTTTCTTCCACACAGTGTGTTTACATCATTGCTCCCAAAGGAGTTTGGGAGGGGAGGAGGGGGACTGCAAGAAAGAATATGCCCGCTATATGAATGTGATGTCAGCTAGTGAATGATGGGAAGAGCAGGTGAAAAACCCAGAAGAATTTAAAAGGAGGCTGTGAGTTGTAGTGGCATGCAGTGGAGACCACCCAGAACATGCTCAGATGTGGACAGTCATGTTGGTTTTGAAAGGACTCTGATATGGCTGCCTCCAAAAGCTCTAATCTAGTCAGACCATGCATCCATGAAATGCCATGTCTTGGCCTCAGCACTGGTCAGAAAGATGCATCCAGTCCTAGCAGAAGGCTTTTTTTTCCTCTTTACTCTTGTTGTCCAATAGGAGATTCCACTATGGTTTAATTTGTCTTTTTGTAATTCAGATTATTCTGCTTCTCAAGGCTTAGTTGAGGGACAGGAGGTACTGTATTAGTCCAGTTATACACATATGTTAAGACAGTTACTTTACATCTAACAGTTATGCAGAACAGGCTGCACGGACTCTTCTCCAAAGTTGTCTTTGTTGTTCTTGTTCTTTACTAGCTTGCTTTACCTTCAGGCTCCTACACATAATCTTTGCCAGGATAGTAGGGTGAGATCCAACAAAGAAGTTTTCAAAAACACTGCAGATCAGGATACAGCTGGAAGAAAAAGTTATACTGGAAGTGCAGGAGTGTTTTTTTGTGCTGAGATTTCAAAGAGAAACAAAAGACAAGACTAAAGGTCCTAATCTGTTCCTGCCTTGGATTTTCCATGTTACAGTTTGCACGATGAGTTACAACTCATCAGGACCATAAAGCTTAGATGGATATTTTTCTTAGGTAGAAAACGTTTCCTACTGACAATCTTAATCAAGAGACAGTATGACTGTCTCATATCTTTAAAAACTGGGGGGTGGAGGGGTTGTGGATGTTTCAGTATTTAAGAGCTTTTATATCTGAAAGGCATTAACTGGATGCTCAACAAAATGAATACAGAAGTTTCTGACCTGCTTTGTATTTCCCCAGAATAAGGAAAGTAAAAGTCATTATGTCAGATACATGGCAGCTGGTTATATAGAATGAATCTTAAGATCAGGATTAAGAGGGCTGTTACAGGATTTCTGACCTATTGGTACACTTAAAGTCATGAATGTTGAGAAGGAGAGCTAAGGTTTCTCATACCCATAATGAAAAACTGGTATTCTCTCTTAAGCTGGTACTTACACTTTTACTTACGTAAATGTAATTAAATCAGGCTGTATGCACTCCTGGTCAATGGTTTGTGGGGTTTTTTGCTGCAAGTCAGGATATAGGCACTCAAATTGCAAAAGGCACATTCAAATTCAAGTAGATATTTTTGATGGGTTTATCTGCATTCCTTGGTGCTTCTGCTGCTTTAGCTGTAACAGGACAAGTTGTAAGGAAGCCACAGCATGTTGCTGGTCCTTCCACATGAAGAAATTGTTATCAAATTACTGCAGGTTTGTTTCTGGGCGAGCTTGATGTGCTGGTTTTCTTGTTGCAGGGAATCTCTCTCTCTCTCATCTTGCCTTGAAGGTCTGTGAAATTAAACCAATGGAGTGTATGCAGCTCCTTTAATCTGAACACAGCAATAGTACCATTCACAGGAAAGATTTTCTTCTGGCTTTTTTTACCCCCACCCTCTTCTCAGTGGAAAAACTTTTATGTCATTGTGTCCACATTCATGCTCTTTAATTCTGTCTTGACAGTTAGATAGGCTTGTGTTTTCAAACATGTCCTCTTTGAATAATTCTGGTGATGGTTTGGCAGTTACGAGGGGGGTGATACACTGTTCTTTTCAATTTGCTTAAGTGATGATTATGAAGAAAAATCAAATTAGAGTTAAACTGTCTCATTTTAAATAAAGTTGGGTCTTAAAGTAGAACTGTTTGGATATCTTCAGTGCTGAATAATCTTCCAGGTGTGAATTATTATATTATTATATTCTTTTGAAGAGAAACTGGGCTAGGGTGTTGGAGCAATAGGGTTCAGCTATTTTGCAACTGAGTAACTTCTACAAAAATGATTAAGCAGGAAGGTGCAGTGAGGGCTGGTTTGATTTTGATTGTGAGATGGACTAGGACTATGATGTATACTGCAGTTTCAGTGAGCAAAAGAAGTTGCTTGTCACTCCTCAATATGGCCTTACCATCTCAAAAAAAAGAAAAGAATGTTCCTGAAGCAAACAAACTGCAGGTTTTTTGTTTGGTTATGTTATAACTTGGTCTGTGTCAGGTAATTTGCCCGTTGGTTTAAGTGCTACTCTGAAGATGGTGTAAGAGTTTTATTCGGTTCCATTAGGTCCAACTAAAGTTTGTAATACAGGGGCTATTATCCTGCCAGTTGTGAGGAATTTCTGTTTTATGGAGCAGTGCTGACACAAAGACAGTACTGTGCAAGCCGTCTTATAACTGAACACTTTCACACTGCAATTTAGGAGGCGGGCAGTTCAGGAAATTGCTGGCTTCTGCTGGAGCACACTTTTACTGCAAGGAAAATTTTATTCGTCACTCACGTAATTGGCAGTTTTAATACCTTGTTAGTAATTACCTTGTAAACAAACTAATGCATAAAGGCAAGGCTCTATGACCTGTTAGGTTATCTAACTCACATTCTTATTTGGCCAGTGGAACTGACACAGGGTGGTGGTGTTTGTTGTTGTTTTTTATTAAAGTAATTTGTTTCCATTTATTATAAATACTTTCAGCTAAGAGTTAAAAAATGCAGTGTACCTATACCAGACAGCCTAAAGAATGAAACATGATACAAGCTCAGCATTGGAGGGGCTGCAGGATCATTTACCCATTCCCATATGTGGTCAGAAGGCCCATTAATCTCACTTCTGGTTCAGTTTGTGAGTTAGGACTTTTTTGTCTTGCGCAGTAGTTCCCCCACACCCCTTGAGTACATGAGAGTTGTCCATGCTGTCCTAATGTGTGGCTTACTATTTGATCCAGAGCAAGTATTTCCATTAAAGGGAAACACTTTCCAGAATTAATATTCTTCTTGATAGTTTTACTAAAATTGCTTTCATCTGCAATCTCTAGGATCCGGGAAAAGCTCCTAAATCTTGGTAATTATCGAACAAGGTATAGAGTGTACCACAGCTAGAATGACTTGAACTTACAAGGTAACAAGAATTATTTCAGGTTACATTTGTTTATTTGGTTGGAATCTGCTTTCACCTATGTAGTGGTAGCCCTGAAGAATAATGCTGCTGATGTGTGGTGTATGATTCTGTACATCATGCAGCTGAGGTGGAAAAACTTGTAGGTTGCTGGGTATGAACATGAAATAGGGTCACTGGAAAAAGTTCATGTGTGAAAGTGAAAGAAGGGGTGTTCCTCAGAACAGACTACAATACCCACATCTTCAGATTGTTGCATACTTTTTGTTCTGGAGTTGGGTGTGATGCTGAGCTGAAATTTGACCAGACATGAAGTCCAAAACTCCTGTAATGACCTCTAATATGCAGAATTTTTGTTCTTTGCTAACTCATTAGAAAAGTCTGTAGATTGGAATACTAGGTCTAGTTCCACAATTACAGAATGTTTTTCAAGGGGCTGTGTTGTCATCCATCCTTTATAATCTAGCTCTGTGTTTTTTTCTGGAAATTCAGATGGACTTCTGTGCCAAGGAAGTTTTCAAAAAACACCAAGCACTGTGTTTAGCTACTATGATATGAATTTGCTTAAAATAGAAAACAGCTCTAACTTTATTTCATTACAATGCTGTGGCATAAAGTTTCATGCAAGTGCCAGATATTTCTACTGTTCAGAAATAGGTGATTATAGTGTTTTGCATCTCTTTTTAAAAGCCATGAATTGCAGTAATTTGATTATATTGCATTTTTTTCATTGTTTCTTGGAATTATATTTTAAGAAATATTAATGAAAATTTATTTAGGCTATTCCAATTTGTGATTTTGGATTAATATTATGCATAGAGAACATACCCTACTGCTTTTCTGTAATTCAAAATTATTTTCAAGTAGAGGAATTACGAAGTAATATTTGCCAGGGTTGTGTAGTTAAGGTGTGTTTACTCTGGAAATGACATTTTGTCTACTGCCCTTAAACTTCAGGACCAGTAACAAGATTGCCAACATTTTGTCTGAACATCTGAAGCCATTTCTGAGTCTAGAAACTTTGGACTTGAGCAACAACAACATATCAGAGCTAAAAATTTCATCATTTCCATCGTTACAACTCAAGTATCTGTAAGTAAATTTTTTTTCTTTCAGGTTACTTTCAAGTATCTTGTTGGATAATTTAGATTGACAGCTGTTTATTAAGTATTAAATCTTCTTTTAATTGGAATGACATTAATATTCCTACCTGTCTAGTTTAACATAAGCTACTAACTTGAATAGATGAGTTGTTACAATGAGATGTTTTAATTCATTAAAAAAAGCTAAGGCCATTATCTTGAGATGAAACAAATAGATGTGTCTCTTGAGAGAAATAATTCTATGATAAAATGAATTTAAGCTCCCCATGGATAGTCTAGTTTGTATTTATATGGAGCTGGATAGACTTCTTGTGAATACACTTCAGTTCTTATTCAGGAATATTGGAATGCAAGATATACTGACTAATGAAAAAGTAACAGGATTGCCACATGTTATCTTCTTCCATTATCACACTCTGGCAGAGTAGAGTAAAATAATGGTGGTGAAATACGATTTGACTATAGAAAAAGCCGTCAAGAGCTCTAATTAATATGAAAAAATGCATTTATAAATGAGTAAGCACCCCAAGAACTTTGTGTTTCACTATTTGGTGTTAAGAATTTATTAAATAACTGTACATTTAACCTTCTAGACATTGTTTCAACAGGTATATTAACAGTAACCGAATAACCTCTATGGAGCCTGGTACCTTTGACAATTTGTCTACCACACTTCAAGTATTGAAACTGAACAGGAACAGAATTTCAGCAATTCCTCAAAAGATGTTTAAACTGTCCCATCTGCAGCACCTGTAAGTGTAACCTACAATTGACTAATTGTTTTCAGGTTTTCCAAAGCACTGGTAGTGCTTGAACTTTAGCCTTTAATTTAACCAGAGGCAGAGTGAGACAGACAGAGAAAACATATTACTGCAACCCTTACTAACTGCAGCGTTGTAGTGAACAAAACTAGTCTTATATGTTGGTGAGATGTGAACAGTCTTTGTGTTTAAAATTGTGTTTGCCTATTAAAAGTAAAAAAAAAAAAAAGACTGGAAAAGGGGTAGGAGCAATATTTCTGTAAAAAAGCATCAGGAAAATAGTAAGTAAAGTAAACTTATATAGTTCACTGCAGCAGTCATTTACTTTGTACTTTCACAGTGGAATGAAGGAAATTAATTTGCTTTCAAATGGCATGACAATAAGCAATATGCATGTATAAATAGACCTTCAGCTTTACTGACACAGTGCTGTCCATAAATGTTTTACCAAATAAATAAAAAGTTACATGAAAGAGACTGTTGGAAAACTTAGAAAGTGCAGAAAATGGACAAAAGACTGGATTGCACTTTGTCAAATCCTGGATAATTACTTTCCATATCAGATAGTCAGGAGTTAAAAATTACAAAGTCTCTAAGGTTAGCCTTGAAAGTGATAGGTTATAAGAACACTGAAATATTAGGGTGCTTGACACTTCTGGAAAGAGAGATTCTGTTTCTTCTGTATACGAGTGCTGGAACAGTTTTAGTCAGGCCTCAGTAGTCCTGCAAAGCTCAGGATTTGTTAATGATTTTGGTAGACTTTCTGATCTTCAGATTCACCTTAACTTTGGGATGTTGGTTATATCCTTGCCTAAAAATGTTCCCTTTGTTCATAGTTGTTATGCTGACTGAGTTATGTTAGGTAGCTTATCTGCAAGCAAGGGCAAAAATTTGAGTTATCACCTGAAAGTATTCAAAGAAGAATGAGGAAGAACTAAGGCCTGTTCTTACTGAATGTTCTTCACTTTTTATTCATATTTAAACACAGGATAAGAAGTAGGGCTCTCCCTCAGGTCTGTTATGAAGTAGATTTTGTGTCAGACTGCTGTAGAGACAAGCTGAATTCTTACAGGGTTGTGACTCTGAAAAATAATGATGGTAATAATGTGGCGAGAGGATTATTTAGACCTTTACTTTGCATGGGGAAATGAGTTTTGAAAGGAGATTCTTCCTAGTTTGGTAAACCTAAGACTTTCTTGAAGGGGCAGATGATCACTCCTTTTATTACCTTTTGGTAGTATTGTCTAATCCTGTCACTGCATCTTGCCCTCCAGCTAGTTACACCGTACATCTCCCTCACAGGATACACATTGCTCCTAGTTTCTGACCTGCACAGGGTGAGTGTAGTGGCAGAAGAGTGAGTGCCAAGACCCCTTGAGAAAGAGGGAAGGCACTATGTGTAGCTGGTTGTGGAGAAGGGAGAGATGTAATGAGTGCTTGACTACAGATACAGAAATAGATCACCAAGGATGTTCAATTTTGTCTTGTTATCACAACTAAAATTTAACTTTTTTTTACTCTTTATTGACTGCAATTACAAACCAGCCTTAACATCTCTACTGCTGGATAAACACTGCTCTCAATTTGAATTTGGAAACAGGATTAACCATGACATTCTAGGTCTACAGGGATTCTTTAAGTCTGAAAATCAGGGAACTGCCTAGTACTTGTTCTCAGTATCAGAAAGGCAGAACAGTATTAACATGGTTGAACATAATGTGTTACAATAAAATATTTGATTTTTATTACTTCTTGTCTTTGTTTCATGTGCAGGAAAAGTGTTTAAATAAAGTTGGTTCCAGAGAGGGAAGAAAGGTTGTTGGTATGTAGGTAAAATTACTGTGCTGTAACTGTAAATTCTATTGATGCAGGGAGCTGAATCGCAACAAAATAAAAAAAATAGATGGGCTCACTTTCCAAGGACTTCCTGCTTTGAAATCATTAAAACTGCAGAGAAATGGGGTTACAAGGCTTATGGATGGTGCTTTCTGGGGTTTGACCAACATGGAAGTCTTGTAAGTATCAAAATTTTGCTGATAGGTTCTGCTGATAACATACTAAGTAGATCTGCACAAAATTAATAGAATTGTGTGATAAAATTTAAAGATGTTTATGAATTGAATTGTTTTGGTGTGGTCTGAAAAGGAGCAAGCAGTCAGTAGTGAATGTGTAGAGCAGCACATTTTAAATGCATGGATACAACTCAAGATTTATATAGAGGCTCCAGCTATCTAGCCAGTGTTGTGAGGTCAGAGGTGGACCTGTGGCATAGCATGCATGCTGCTGAGTTTCTAAACCTTATGTCTTTTTCTGTTTGTGGGTGTTTGTAGGCAGCTGGACCATAACAACTTAACAGAGGTAACCAAAGGCTGGCTTTATGGCTTACTGATGCTGCAACAACTCCATCTCAGCCAAAATGCCATCAGCAGGATCAGTCCTGATGCCTGGGAATTTTGCCAAAAACTCAGTGAACTGTGAGTATCTTTATTCTCTTCCAGTTTCAAAAGCCAGGTACATGGCAAAACACGAGCTTCTTAGCACTGATCTGTGAATTTTTCATAGCAAAGTTTCCAAGATGACTACAACTTTGCTGTATAAGACAATTATATCTTGTTGAAAGAATTTGGAAGTTAACTGAGATTGTTCTATTTTCAGTAGAGGTTGTACTAAAGCCGTAACACAGTAATTTTCAAATGAGAGAAATTAATTCTGCAGTAACTTGTGAATTGTTCAAAACAATGCAAAATGCTTTGTGGTCAGAAGTGGTGTAGTGGGTTCTGTGATAATCATCAGGGGAAAACTGGTGCTTCCCCCCTGAAAATTCATGTGGGTTGAACTAAGTTAAATAAGCACTGCAGCATGAACATTAAAATGCTTTTTTTCCCCCCTTAAATTTGCAGAGATTTGACATTCAATCAATTAGCAAGGTTAGATGATTCAAGCTTCATTGGTTTAAGCGTGCTGGTTGGACTGTACATTGGAAACAACAAAGTAAATTACATTGCTGATTGTGCCTTCAAGGGACTTTCCAGTCTACAGATTTTGTAAGTTGACAAACTCAATTTGTAAGGTCAAAACCTTAAGAAAAATCCTGTGTTTATAGGTTATTTCTTTTCTTTATGAAAGAGACAAGAACATTTTGTTAACTTCCCCTGATCAGTGTATGATTTTCTTACAGTAAGATTTCTTTCCAGAATACATGAGAAAGGGAGGAGTTGCTCTTTTGTTAAGGCTGTGCACAATGGATGGTGGTAACAGTGATACAGACTTCCAGTAGCATTGCTGTGGGAGAGGCATATCTCTTGAAGGCAGCAAGCAGAGCACTGCTGCCCACAGTTTTAGGGATCTGGATCATAGTTGTGTCTTAACTGAATCATTTTCTCTCACAGCAGAAATAAGAAGACAAAAATCATTGTCATGACTGGACAATTGCTTTAAGTATCAGAGTGTGTTTTTGCAATAGCATTTCTTAAAGGAAGGGAAAGAACTAATCTAAATACATTCCTCTTCATTAAAACCTTCCCATTGCATACCACTGACCCATCTGTCAGGCAGATGAGCAAAACAATTGCCTTTGCCTCTAGGCTTTATTTTCAGGGGTTTGCTCACGTACTCACACTTAGGGCATCTAGGAAAGATGCAAATTAGAGGAGTGTACACCATGTTTTTTAAGAATATAGAGAGTTGGAAATCATAAAGAAAGGGACTTAGAGAATTGTGAGCTGTTTAGGTATTAAGTATTAGGCAATTTCTCCTAGATTCTTCTTTCTCCTCCTGCTCAATCCTCTGGATTGTTTGCAGACACACTATTCTGTACACAAATCTGTAATCTCTTTATGCTTCATAGATAATTAAGCAAGTGTTTTGGGATGTTAAAATGACTCTCTGGGTGTTAATATTAAGGACTTCAAACAACATGAGGGTGTTCCATTTCAAAGGGACAACAGTTGGTCCTTTCCCTTCCTGCAGTGCATGTTTTCTTAAAATAGTCCTGTATGCGAATACCTTTGGAGAGGTATGTGGTTTGGTTTGCTCACAGTTCTAAAAATTATTGAGTTTGTGATCTTTTTAATTATCAGTGGGAAAAATACTAATAGTCTTCCAAGTCTCTCAGTAAAAATTGAAGTGATAAAGTTAATCAGGAAAAGCTTCGTTTAACCCACAAAAACCAACTGAACAAAAATCCAACCAATCCAACAGAAAGCTATTTTAGATTTTTTTTTAAGTAATACATGCTGTTGAAGAAGTATGTGCCTTGTTCTTTTTAATAGCTTTTGTGATTTGATTTCCCCTCCCCTCTTTAAACAGGGATCTGAAAAACAATGAAATATCATGGACTATTGAAGATATGAATGGTGCTTTCTCTGGCCTAGATAAACTTAAGAAGCTGTGAGTATTGCTACAATATTTGTATCTCATCATGCCTTAAAAAAAAGAGCTTATTATGTGTCTTTCAAAGGACAAGCCCAACACTTAAGGATATTAAATTTTCCATAGCAGTGGTGATTTTTTTTTCTCTCTTAACACTTTGTTCTCTGTAACATCTTCCTTTTCAATAAAAGAAATTCAAGATTCTCCAAGTCAAACTAATCTGAAATGTTTTAAGTATTGTTAATATTTATGGACATATTTATCAAAGAATGAGGTTTTTCCATACTAAAAAATAATAAGTGTATCATATGATAAAGGCATAGTGGCAGGCTTAGTCTTCAGTAAGGTAAAGCAACATCCAGTGGAAGTGGCTCCATTACATTGAAATTTTCAAATGCATATTAAGGAAATTTAAAAATGTTTATAGTTTTACATTTAGAATAATCCATATCACTTAACTGCATACCTTAAATGTCTTCTAAAATCATTGTAAAATCTAGCTATTTATTCAAGGGGAATAAATTAGTATCTTTTAGATGTGATACGTTTTGCTGCATTGGAAATGGGTGAGTGGTGAATACTAGTCAGAGTTGAAAAATAAATGCCAAAAATGCAATCATTCAGCTCAAAAATACTCCCATTTAATTGCATTTCTTTTGCATCATGTGCTTAAATTTTTCAGGATACTCCAAGGAAACAGGATTAGATCCATTACAAAGAAAGCATTTTCTGGTTTGGATGCACTTGAACACTTGTAAGTAGTAGACATTCACATTTAACCCAAAATGGGAAAAAATTAATTTTGATACTAGCTGAATTTAAAGGAGAAGTAACAAGCTTTATTTATAACTTGGGATGAAAGTCATAAATATTTGATTATTTGATTAACCTTACCATGGTTGCTACTGTGATCTTCAGAAGATTTTTCAGTTTTGAAGTTACACTGAGTGTGAATTTTGGAATTAATGCAGAAATTCTTACATATTAAACATGCTATGAAACTTCTTATTTGCATCTCTTTTTATTTTGAGCTTAAGCACCCTTTGTATATCACTAAAACAGCAAATTATTGCTTGAGTCTTAAATCCATTCAGTTTAATAAATCTGTTATTTTCTTCTAATCCTATTTTTCTTTTTTCTTCCTAGAGATCTAAGTAACAATGCAATTATGTCAGTTCAAGGAAATGCATTTTCACAAATGAAGAAACTCAAAGAATTGTAAGTTTCTATCAAAAGACATAATCTCTATTAAGTATATAGATATTATCTATACATATAAATGTGTAAATAAAAGCCTTGTAAGACATCACCTGGTGCAGTGATAAACCCCTGCTGTAATCTCTCTGAAATAACATAAAAAGTTTATGCCAGTGTTTTGGGGTTTTTTTTCTATTTTTATATGATTGATGTATTTAAGTGAGAGAGTGTAGGATAGGTGGCTACATTAAATTTCTGCTACATTTGTTGTCTCTAAAATCCTTATTTTAAATTAGGTGATCTCTAACAGGTTTTAGATGAGGGAGACTTTAATGTAATGTGCTCTAAGACCAGCAGTGCTGGACCAGTGAAATGCAGTGCTGAAATTCTTTTGTAAAGACCTGGTTGTCACTGCTTGTAATTGGCTCCTTCTCTCCTGTAGTAGCAGAGAGACAGATCTTCAGAGAAGTCGTGAAGTGGTCACTGCGAAAAATGTATTTTAGTGAGGATGAGTTTTTGTCCTCTCACCCTTTTTTTCTGTTGATCAATGCAGACCAGCACTGGCTCACAGGCTGGGTGCAGAGGGTTATACTGAAAGGGGTGACATCAAATTGGCAACCTGTCACTGGTGGGGTTCAGCAGGGCTCCATCATTAGCCCTGTGCTCTTCATCAATGACTTGGACTTAGGACTCAAAGGGATACTGAGCAAGTTCACAGACAATACAAAACTGGGAGGACTCCCTCGAAGGCAGGGAGGCCCTGCAGAGTGACCTCAACAAATGAGAGGGCTGGGCAATCAGCAGCTGTATGAAGTCCAGCAAGAGAAAGTGCTGGATTCTGCACCTGGGGTAGGGCAGCCCTGGGTGTATGGACAGACCAGGGAATGAGAGGCTGGAAAGCAGAGCTGTGGAAAGGGACCTGGTGTCCTGGTTGATGGCAAGTTGGATATGACTCACCGGTGCCCTGGCAGCCAGGAGGGCCACCCATGTCCTTGGGGGGCATTGGGCACAGCATCACCAGCTGGGCAAGGGAGGGATTTGAGATTTGAGCTGAGCAATATTGCCGTCTTTCTCTTGCAATATGTGTGTTTAACCTAGAGCCTTAGTTTTGTTATGAAAGTGTGCTCATACAGATCTGTATTACAAACAAACAGGCTTTGATTTTAATTGCTTTTTCTTAGGCACTTCAACACATCAAGTCTCTTGTGTGACTGCCAGTTGAAATGGCTACCACAGTGGATGTCAGAGAACAACTTCCAGAGCTTTGTAAATGCCAGTTGTGCCCATCCTCAGCTGCTAAAAGGGAGAAGTATTTTTGCTGTCAGCCTGGATGGGTTTGTCTGTGGTGAGTGTAGCCTCTATTTCTCATTCCATAAAACAAATATTGCTGGGTGCTTGCGATTTTTTTGGTGGTTCCTTAATACATTGTGATTTCTATAACAAAATTGAAAGGATGTGATACTTAGTAATATTTTTTTCTGTTTCCAAACTGTGATGTAGATGCTTAAAGCTTGAGGCTTTGTACAAGAGAGTGAGTGATGATATTTTGACTTTCATACCAAGTACAGCTTGCTTACATAGAACATATCATATTCTATGCATGCAAGTGAAAGCTCAGTACTTCGTGAGGGTAAATGTATGTGCCTCTAGATTTAAAAGATATTGTTTTAATCACTATTGTTTTTAAGTGAGACATACTTTGGCAAAATTAAGATGTAGTTTTTGGGTTTGGTTATTTGTAAATTTTTTTTTCATGTTCCATTATTCTTGAGGTTATTCCAGGGCTGATAAAATTTCAAGGTAAAAAAGCTATATTGGCCTCAGCTCTGATGTTTTTTATGTGTGCTTGTGGTGTGCTTTAAAAATTATTTGGAGTATTTAAATTACTGTCTTTTAAACTGTGTTTAAAAAATACCTGATTACCACAGTTACGATACTGGTATTTTTTATTTCAGTTTGCCAGAGAGTAAATGCTAGCAAAATATTTTTACTTTAGGACCTGAGAATTTGAGGTGATAGCATCTGCTTTAAAAATAAAATTTTTCTATGTGTGTTTAGTAGCATTCATGAACACCCATGTTATGTTCTCTATTTAAAGCAAAGTGAAGCTAAGCATTCAGGGTAAGGACATGTTTGATTACTCTGATATATAAAGTAGGAACTTTGAAAATATCAGGAAATTTAAAAGCCAACTAACTGCATTTCATGTATTTTTGTTGAATAAGTTTTATTTTTCTGACTAAAGAAAATTCAAACATTATATTCTTTGGAGACAAAAAGATAAGTGTCTTCTCAACGATTTTTTGTCTCATAGCAAATATAACTGGTTAATTTTTACTGTTGATACCCTTTTTCAGTGGGAAAGCAAGTCCAGAATATAAAGTAGTGTACCAAAATGTTGGTTTTTCCTTTCCTGTTAGCAGACACATATTTAATAAATAATCAGCAGATTCTCGCTACTGCCGAGAAGCAGAGGTTGACATAATGCAGGGAATTATTGGGGGAATTGTGATCTTTCTTTGGGCTGCTGAATGCTATTTTAAAGTATTTAGTTTTAAACCATTTAAGATGTGTTAGCAAAAAGAAATGTACTGAATCAGTTTTGCGCTTGTTACTTAACACAATTGCCATGCAGAAGTAACTAAAATCTCCTAATAAAATCATTGAGTGTTTCAGTTATATCTATAAAGTCTGTTATCACTAGACATTCTGGTATACCCACCTTGCCTTACAAGTTTACAAGGGCTGCTTTTGCTTTTATAGAATTTTTAAGTGGAGTGTGTTGACTCCTGTCTGAAATTAAAAGGTGTGTATATATGTGGATGTCTTTGTAATACATTCCTTCAAATATGCTCTTGGATTATTTTGTTCTGACAAAACATAATGCTAGTCTTATCCTAGTGTGTTCTGTATTCTGTACTGTATGCTTATTTGAGTGACTTTTGTATCACCCCTTCCTGTCAGATAATTAAGATTGAAGTATGTTCTGCTGTCCTTTCACAAGGCTAATTTAAGTACTTAGAATGTTTTACTTAGTTATTGCCATGCAAAGTCGGTGTATGTAATAACTCAATTTGCAAATGGTAAGACATGGGTATGAAGCATGAAAAGCAAATAGCCTGGGATGTTCTTAAAGTTCATGCTTAGAGTCCCAGATCCATGTTGCCCTGTCACTGGAGCACAGCATCATACCTGCAGGAGTTTTGCAGATGGTTCAAGGTTAGGCTATCTGCACGTCTCATTTTCATTTGTAACGGAGTGGAGGTTCTTCAAGGAAGTGGCACCTTGACCCCATAGTTGTTCCCAGTCATTTGAAATGTAATAAGACAAACATGCTAGGAGACAGCAGGATCTGCAGGGAGGAATTTTTGGGGCACAGGGCTTTCCCTGCAGTTCCTTTGTCCAGAGATTGGACACATCTTGAAAGTTGGGAATATACTAAGGCTTTTGATTTTGGGAGACCAGGCATTTACTTGTCTACTCCTTTTGCAGATGCAGTGTACACACAATTGAATAAATAATTCAGAAGGCAGCTAATTCTGTAAACTCGTAACATGGCACTTCAAAGGTAACATTCCTATAGTAAAGGGACCTCCAGGAATTCTTGAAATTCTTGTGTTCTGCCCTGCTTAAGGGACCTTCCATCCCCTTTGGCCCAAACAGACGCACATCACTGGAACACTGACTTTTGTACATGATTTTTTTTTGTGGGTTTGGGTGAAATGCTCAACTGTAACTTGCAGTTTCTGATAGCAGAAGAACTATGCATTCAATAAAGAAAAACTCCCAGCAGCCTGAGGTGTTGTAAAGATGAGAGGTAGGCTTCATGATTGATGTTCAGAGTAGTTCTTATGGATGTCAGGGAGTAGTTCTTATATCTTTAGTGCTGTTATTGAAGAAGCTGTGCACACAGTCTGCTTTTAAATGTGCTCTCACTTCAATAAGTGATGGCTTGGCACAATAAACTCATAAATATGGCATCTTTAAATGCCCTAAGGCTAACAAAATTTAAAACAAAAGCATTGTGGATCCATTTAATAAATACTTATCTGACTCTTCTCTCAAACCTATAAAACAAGGCTTACTAACTCTCTGGGAAGAGTCCTCAGGCATCACATATATTATTTTTCTTTTTCTCTGTGCAGATGATTTTCCTAAACCACAGATCACTGTCCAGCCAGAAACCCAGTCAGCAATTAAAGGCTCCAATTTGAGTTTTGTGTGTTCAGCAGCCAGCAGCAGTGATTCCCCAATGACTTTTGCATGGAAGAAAGACAACGAATTACTGCAAGACGCTGAAATGGAGAATTACGCACACCTCCGGGCCCAGGGTGGAGAAGTGATGGAGTACACCACCATCCTTCGACTGCGCAATGTGGAATTCAGTAATGAAGGGAAATACCAGTGTGTTATTTCAAATCATTTCGGTTCATCCTACTCTGTCAAAGCCAAACTTACAGTAAACAGTAAGTAGTGTTTTGCTTGTGGACCTTGAATGATTTTAATCAAGATAAGGATTCATAGATTTTTCATTCTTGTCATCTGCATGTTTTAGAAGATCCATAATACGAGATTATTTCTTGAAAATTTATCCGTTTCCAAGGTCACTATAAAATTTTACCTCTGGTCCCAGTGTACTGAAGCATAGTATAGGAAAAAACAACATACCTAATTCATAGTAAATCTGGCAAAATCAATGTTACAAGATGGAAAAATGTTAACTTTTTCTCACAGGAGATAAGTGTATGCTCTGTTTCAAGATGCTATGGAAAGGTCACATAGGAGGCTGTTAGCAAAAATGAGATTTTGATCTAGGTGGTCTCACATACTTCACAGTTCCCTCCCTTTCTGCTGGCTACTGATCAATTTAGACTGTATGTTTCTCTAGTGTTTTTAGGCCCATGAGGGGTGTTCAAGGAAAGGCTGTACAAAAGAGAAGTATGTTTCATGTATTGATTTTGGTATCACCACCTTTTCTTTAGTGCTGCCTTCATTTACAAAAATCCCCATGGACTTGACCATTCGAGCTGGGGCAATGGCACGTTTGGAATGTGCTGCAGTTGGGCATCCTATCCCACAGATTGCTTGGCAGAAAGATGGTGGAACAGATTTTCCTGCAGCACGCAAGAGGCGCATGCATGTCATGCCTGAAGATGATGTATTCTTTATTGTTGATGTAAAGATCGAGGACACAGGTGTTTACAGCTGTACAGCTCAAAACACTGCTGGGAGCATTTCAGCTAACGCAACGTTAACAGTACTAGGTAAGATATTGGCAAACCTTAACAGCACAATCAATAATATGACTCAAAATAATAAAAGTTAGTTATGTTTCTCAGTGTATACGCGTCTGGTACGCATGGGATGGAGGGAAGAAGGGGCTTCTGTTTTCATTTAGAGACTGTAGATTTGTTTAACTTTGATTTCTTGACGTTTTGTTAATCGTTTTTATTGTAGTTCTCTGCATCTTAAGCATGTATGATTTAGCATTTTTACCTTGTAAGGTAATCAAGCATGTAAATCGGACCAATTGACAATTAAATTGTAGGCTTTAGGTACAAATTCTTGAGTTTCTTCTTAGAATGAGAGTAAGCTTTATTAGGCCTTACTGATGCATTTAATTCAGCTTTTCCTCTTGAGCTGTGAAGGAAAGGGACACTTCTTTCTCTTGCGAGGTCATTTAGAATATAAGGCTTGTGCTTTCTTTTCAGAAACACCATCATTTTTGCGGCCTTTGCTGGATCGAACTGTAACAAAAGGTGAAACTGCAGTCATGCAGTGCATTGCTGGTGGTAGCCCTCCACCCCGACTGAACTGGACTAAGGATGACAGCCCTCTCATGGTAACAGAAAGACACTTCTTTGCTGCAGGCAATCAGTTACTAATTATTGTGGATACAGATGTAGAAGATGCTGGGAAATACACTTGTGAAATGTCTAATACACTTGGAACGGAACGAGGCAATATCCGACTTAATGTAATTCCTACTCCCACCTGTGACTCTCCTCAAAACGTTGCCCCATCGCTTGATGATGATGGATGGGCCACAGTTGGCATTGTGATCATAGCTGTGGTTTGCTGTGTGGTGGGCACTTCCTTGGTGTGGGTGGTCATCATCTACCACACCAGAAGGAGAAATGAAGATTGCAGCATCACAAATACAGGTGCGTAAACTGAAGGTTTACCTTGGAAAGGAAAACAAATGTTTGTGGTTGCCTTGCAGTGACTTTATTGTAGGAACATTTGTGTGCTTTGACTCAGAGGCAGAAAGGTGAATTATTTGTTGCTTTCAGTGCTTTGCTGACAAGTTTAAAAATGTTTCTGCAAACTCAAGTGTGTTGATGGCTTTTGTATGTGTTTTGCTCCCCCACAGATGAAACAAATTTGCCTGCTGACATTCCAAGTTACCTGTCATCCCAGGGGACACTGGCTGAAAGGCAGGATGGATATGGCTCATCTGAAAATGGCAGTCACCATCAGTTCCTCTCATCTTCTGCAGGAGGGTATTTCCTGCAGCAGAGGGACAGTAATGGTAGGTAGAAAATGCTAAACAGATTTTTCATGTGACTTGAGGAGCTGCAGTTTGGCTATTGTCTTTCTAACTAATAGAAAGAAAGAACAGTAAAGAAGCATCTTTACACAATTTAATAGAGGACATGAAAATTATTGCTTGCAATTTTTCAACACGATAATAACTTGGTTCTGTTCATCCAGATGACGTTATGGTATTTATTTAAATCAGGAAGTTTTTCTCTAGTCTCAAGGGTAAATTTAAACTAATGAGGACATGTGTAAAACAAGAGCATCAAAAAGAAATTACCCATGGCATGTCTTCTCTTTACAGCTTGAAAAGGGTGCTTTTAGAGGTGTAAAGCATGTGTGGTAATACCAGTGGAACTTTAGTATAACTCTTTAAACTTGCTGGTTAAAAAAAAATCATTACAGTCAGAGTCAATAAAAAATTTAAGGTTGACTGCAAGTTAAAAGCTGCAGTACTTGACATTTATACGTGTGGGCCCAAAGAATCCCGTATATACTTGCACTAGGGAGGAAAAGGCACCTTTCTGGGAAAGGGCTTGGGGTTGAGACACAATCAGGAGCTGGGACATGTGGGAATGGAGTGATGGTGAGATAATTTTGCAGTTGTTGGGTAGTGAGAGGAACAGCCTCTTTGTGGATCAAGGACCAGAGACTATGTCCAAAGCTTTCAGGAGCCATTGAACTAAAAATCTTTATAGCTGTTTAGGCAGCCAGTGATTCCCTCAGATTCTTTCAACCAGGACTTTGACATTGACATTCTGCTTTTGAAAGAGGCTATGAGACAGATAATGAATTTGTCTAGTGTGCTTTGGAAGAAGGAGGTCCCTGGTTCTGATCCCTGTAATTGGTTTGGTTTTGTTTTGTTATTCAGGGATTGTACAGTGAAGTGACACATTCTCTGTTAAGCTAATTAATTGAACAGTTGCTGAAGTTAGGATTCTCATCCAAAAGTTAGGTTAAACCTAAGCAAACTCTAAACTACACTATGAAATGTAGTTGAACACGTGGGGTTCTTAAAACTTACTCAAGAAACTCTTAAGCTGGAGATTCAGAAAAGACTGTGTGGTGACACATCAATTTTATTTTTAAGGCATTTGCCATCTAGATAACAGCAGTGAGACAGACTTGGAGGGTGTTGCAGATCCATTCCTTTGCCACTATCTGGGGACTTCAGGGACTTTGTATTTAAAAGGCAGCGCTTACAGTTCTGACGCATTTGAAGCATACAGTACAAGTAAGTTCGTGGGGAGAGGTTTTAGTCCTAACTCAGTCTTTCTTAAGATGAATCTATATAAAATGAATTTTTCATTTCCTTTAGGTTGCAGCCCTGACCAGAGAACAGCAGGCTTGGGCCCTTATGAGTCTGGATATTTAAAGAAAAAGGAATGCTGTCAATACTCACCTCCACAGGAAGATCCCTTTGACCAATGTGTTGGCATTATTGGAACACAGGCTACAAGTAGCAGATTGATGAACTCTATTTATACTCAAAATGAAGGAATGGGACTGAAAAGCAGAAGTCTCAATTCAGACACATTTGATTTAAACAGAAGTTTGGAACCCTCATCTATTATGAGTAAAAGCACTTTCATGGGTATGTTCTAGCTATTGTTTTTTATTCGAGCTGCCATTGTCTTTGCTGTCTTGTTTCCTACCTACAACACCAAGCAAAACTGATTTCTCACCTTTTTCTTTCCCAAATGTTTGATGCTGAGGAACAGAAAAGTGACTATAGTAAAGCGGTGTAATGAGGATATTTAGATTACCAGATCTTAATAGCTTACACTTCTGTAAAAATCTCATCAGTGATGCGATTCCTATCTTCTGTCTTAATATTGCTGGCAGATTTCTGTAAGCGTTAGCATACATAGCTTAAATACACCTTAAGAAACTTCAGGCATACCAGAAGTTTTGCCTGACAGGCAAAAGGTGTGTAAGGAGGGCTCAGTGCAGGTGGGGAGAATTGAACTTGTATGCATATATATTGTATAACACTGTCAGCCAGAACTATTTACCCTTTGAAATAAGGCACTATGTAAAAATGCCCTCCTTTATCCCTCCTTTGTCATTTTTTCATGATGTGCATGATAAAAGAATTCCCAAACTTTAGTTTTGGGTTTACAATTTTAATCCAGATTGCAGGGAGAGGTGGGGGAAGGAGAAAAGCATTCCTTTATCCTTGAAGCTCATTAAATTTTGGATGTTGGTTTGGTTGCTTGGTTTAAAATGCATACAAAACCACATATTGCTTTCGTCTTTGTGATATCTTAGTGTCAAAACCAGCCCTGGTACCATGGATTGTCTCCTGGCTGGTGTGTCAGCACTGGCTGATCAAGATCTGGGTCTGCTGGCTCTGAAGGGGACCTGGGGGAATGTGCATCACTGGGCTCTTTGTTCTCAGGGGGTGGGGAGGGAGGCACAAGCTCTGAAGTTTTCCCCCTTCAAAAGCCAGATGTTTGAACTGTAAAATGTTGCAGATGCCAGGACATCTGGCAGAGACCCTGGGACTGCACATGGCCGGCCTCCTGGCTGCCTGCCACTACTGCTGTGGTGGGACCATGCAGATAGGGCTTTAGTACGTCTCCTGCAGAAAGCAGTCCAACTGTGTGTTTGTATATCCAGCAGTTACTGTCACCCCAAGGGTGCATAGGCCTCAGTCTGCCCTAAAAATCTCTGCAGAGTTACTTCTTTGATCAGTTCTCTGAGCGTACTACCCCACTTATGTTGCATTGTTGTTGCCTTAGATGCTTCATAATCATTAGCACTTTTCCTTCAAAGAGCTTACGGCTAGATCTTGGACATGGTAGCTGTGGAAGAAGTTGTGATAGATTTCTTGTCTTTAGTTGTGAATTTGCTTCTTCAACATGGTCGTCAAATTCAAGCCCCATTTTGCCTGTGCAATCATAGTGAAGTCAAGAGCTGGCATTAGCATCACAGTTGATGCACAAGCCAGAAAGTTTGTAGCATGTATTTTTGTTTTTAAGACAGTTCATTTGTAGCTTTGGTGCTGTGAGGAACACCCTTTCATACTGCATTAGGTCTAAACTGCTCTACAAATCATTGATGGAAATAGGGGTTTTGTCCAATTCCTTTTTTAGTAACTTCTCAGTTCGGAGTTTTACTTGAAACCTTTAGTTCTAACAAAAGCAGAAGTGTTGCATTTTGGGTTCAAAATTTATTTTAAAATGTAGTGTTCAATTGTTAATAAAAACTTGAGTTCTTCAAAGTCAGCCTGTGACACACTGTCCTCTGAAAATAAGTCCTTACAGACACTTTGACTTAGGATGGGTATGTCTTTACTCACTGAAAAAAGAAGGCCCTTCTTGTAGAGGTGTTGATACTAACAGCTTCCCAGTGATGGAGAATGACACACATTGATTGTTTACTGGCTAGTAAATACAGATAATTACTAATTATAGTTGAACTGAAATGTGTAATTCTCTTTGGGTTGCTACTGTTCTCTTTGCCCACAACTGACTGGATGATCAGTGGTGAATGCAGCATTTGGCTATCTGCATCTTTATTATTAATGGGAGATGCTAGCCAGAAGAAGATGGTGTTAGCATTCAGATTGCACTGTGGGACAACATTGTATAACCTGATAGGGGTTGTGGGGTTACATTTTTTTTAAATTCCTAGTTTATTTTTTTCTGAACTGCATGGCAGATTGCATGTGCCATTCATTTATTGAAGAACAAAACAGGGAGTGACTTTTGCGTTAGAAAGTGTCTTACGATCTGTTTGCAGGTTGATCCCTGTTCCTATCTCCCCCCTCACCACCTTCCCCAAAGAAAAATGGGTAAGGAAGTAGTCATGAAAACAAAATAAATTAAGTTGTAGGTGGCTATGCAGCTACTTGGAAATGTTTTTAATGTCTCTTGTGGTAGAATCTTGCCTTATGCTTGTTATCACATTGATGTTTTCTTTAAAATGGTGGAAGAGCATTTAAGTAAAATCTCACTTTGGTGAATTTCCTGTTAACCTTGCATTTCAATGTCACTTACGTCAATTTCTGTCAGTCTTGCATTTCAATGTCACTTAAGTACACTAGGGTGAGACACAAATCTTTTTGCATCAATATTTCTGTGCTCACTCTTTTACTGTCTTTCAGGAACATTTGGAAAGCCTTTATGGAGGCCTCAGCTGGACTCTATTTCAAGCTGTAGACAGCCAGCAAATTGCCAACCAAAAACCTCCCATAATAATCATCATGTCTCACTGGACTTTGATGCAGAGGCAGATGAAGAGGGAAAGGAAAGGACAGTTTCTAGAGGAGAAAATAGCTTTTATACTTGCAAACAGTCCTTTGAAAACTTTAGGACTTCTACTTTCCAATCCTGTGATTCGGATACGTAGCTCCTTTTGGAATTAATGATTTGTGGAACCAAAGAACTAATTTGACATACTACTACCTCAGTATGGAACTTTATTTAAAAAGGGAATGAGGAGAAGAAGGGAAGAAAGAAACCCCATGATGCTCTGAAATCAGAAGAAAAAAAATATTTTTTTTTTCCAATAAAGCATAATTTCCAAGATGCTCTACATTGGTTATACAGGGAAAAATCCTTATAAAAATACTATATTTGTAATTATTTTATAGCCTTTTTTTAATGCAAATAATATGTTTTGTAAATTAATGGTGTAAATAATACAGTGTATGTATTTCTATGTCAGACTTCATTTTCTTGAAATGAGTAGTAAGCATTCTAATTTTGTACTGTTACTTGTACCTTTTTACAAATGGAAACTACATGCTGTTTGCAGGTACCATGCATCTTATTTGCACATTACTTTAATAAAATATGCTGCCATGTGGCCTCTGGCCCACATTAGTATATGAAGAATGAAAAGTGTGAATTACGTTTGTAGACAGTGTTGCAAATGTAGGTGCTTTCTGATGCGTGTTTGCGCCTTCATTTGACTTAAACTCGTACCTTTAGATTTACTGTGTAAAAATATGTTCATCTTCAGAGAGTGGGTGTGGTCCTACCACAGCTATGAACCAAAACAAGGCTGTAAATCCTTCAGTTTGTGAATTCCCCCTGTCAGATGTGCACACGCATGCTCTAAGTTTTCACGTCTGTGAGGCTGTAGTACCAGCAGTTTCCCTGTGCCTTTGTTAGTGTGCCTGCATCTGGTGTAGGGATATACACAGTAGATGCACAAATTCATATTGAGCTATTTAGTAAAAGAAAAAAAAGGGCACTGGATATGTGCCTGGTAACCTAGCTTTTCTCTGAGTGGCTTAGTGTCAAGTGTTTGCCAAATACAGTACATGCCTGAGTCTTTGCTTTCCCATACCCTTTCTCCCTCTTTTTTCCTTCTGCAGCCACTCCCTGCTCAACATGAGGAGGTAATCCAAGAACACGATAATTTTTTTTTTTGTTTAATTCATGCTTCTGTTCCTTACTTGGCTGCCCTTCTCTGGTTACAGATGAGATCTGTGCTTTATTTAATTGCTCAGTCAAGTTGAGCAATTGTAGACTCTTGCTGGATTATATTTGTAGTAATGAACCCAGTATCTTTACCTATCCAAGACGGAGAGAATTGCAGATTGCTTATTATAAAACAGTAGTTAAACCTGAGTGAAAACAGTCTTTATTTTGTGTTTCCCTGTACAGATGCCTATTGTTTAAAAAAGCTGTGAATCGTGTTGTCATCACTGCACTAAAACAGCAAGACTTCAAAATGGTTAATTCTACAGGACATTGGCTTTTTAAATGTGCCTGCTTTGAAGGTGCAAATTTACATGGTTGCCAAATAGCTTCTTTTAAACTAAATTAAATGCAGCTGTTAGAGTAGCCCATCACAGACATCAGGGCTAAAGTGGGAGCAAAGATTTTGTTTGCCTGGTGTAGCTGAACTAAGGGCTTTTAGTTGTCTGCAGCCAGAAACCTGGTACCCAGATTGCAATGCAATTTCCCTTTAATTTGGGCAGCAGTATTAGAGACAGGAAGTTAATCCATCCTTAGTCACTGGTGGTCTAAGCGTACAGAATGGATTTTGCGTGCTTTAGTTGATCATATTGCCAGATTTTTTGACTTATTGTTAATTTGTCTTCATTGCTGCCAGATGTGCTGATGTGGTGAAAGACATTGGTATGGGTATTTGATTATAATTAAGTGCATTTGAAAGAGATTAATTTTTCCTCAGTTAAGCACAAACCTGTAGGTCAGTAGGGCAAGAAATCTGACATTTGATTCGCTCAATATCTCTCTTTTTCTTTCCCAAACCCCACTCCCTAGTGGCCCTGTTTTTAGGGAGAGGAGAGCTGGGGCCTGTGATAGCTCCTGTTTATAACCAGACATTGCTTTCTGACATACTAAAAAATACCCAAGTTAAAAACAGCAACTCCAGATTTAGTGTTTATCCTTAAGAACTCCATGTTAAAGGTCCATCATGAAAAACAAGCTTTAAATTCTGTAGTGGGTGAAGGTTGAGAACAGTGGCAATGTCATTCCTTTTTCATCTCCTTTGCAAAGATACTAATCTTCCAAAGGCTTGGATATCTGTACCTAAATAAATGTTCAGAGTAATTTTAAGTGTTTTTTATCAAGTTGCATTTAGCAATCTAGATATAGGAATTACTTAAAATTTTATTTGATGCTTTAAATGCCCAGAAATGGAAATGAAAGCTCCCAAGTCTTTTCTGCTAGCTTGAGTTTTTATGTTTTGTACATGGATTGTGCTGAAATGTACAGTGGGTATCTGTAAAGTGCAAGATATACTGTAAAGTTTCAATATCGTAGTAGTTCTTTTCAAACCAATGATGTTACCAAACACCTATTTTAAAGGCTTGGAAGTTTGCTTATTTGGTGGTTTTTTTTGGTTTTTTTTTCTCCCCTCTAAGATGCAGATGTTAGTGAGCTGGTAGTTGGGTATTTACTCAGCTGAAAACTAAATCGTAAGTTGATGTGATGGGGAAATAAATTGCAGCCAACCCTGAGTAAAGCTTACACTGCATCTCAAGAGTTAGAATGAGAAACAAGTGTTGTGTTGCTGAATGACAAAACAGACATTTTTCAGTTTTATGATCAGGAACAGCTGGAATCTTTCTGTGGGCTCACTTAAAACTTGTAGAATGTTCTTTAAGGGCAGTAGCCACTTAATGCTTTACACAACAAAATGTTTTGCCTGTTGAATTCACACAAGCAGTTGCTGAGGTATAGTTTCTGCAAGCCTTGAATAGTTTAGATAAATAGAGTTAATCAGTTACCACAATTTCTCTGGCACAAGCATTTCCTAAATGAGTAACCTAAATGGTGTCTGAGATGACACTAGGGATACTTGCATACTGAAGGGTGTTACAACTTTATGGAGTACAGCTGTAATTCAGCAGCAAATGCTTTAATTTAGAATTCATAACTTTAGGGGATCTTGAAAAAGGGCAAAGAGTTAGATGCAAAGCTTTCTCCAACTGACAGCTCATTAGTGTCACCAAACATTTCTTATTTCAGTCTTGGGGAGCTCTTGAACACTTAAGCCTTATTCCTTGAGCCACTTCAAGGAAGCTTAAAACTAAGACTTAGCTTTGCACTGCAAACATTTGTGTTCTGCCAGCCTTACAAATTAGGACTATAATTGGCCATTCTGTTTCTTCTTGAATACAAACAAAAGGATAAATTCTGTGAGCTACCTGCAAGATTTCTTCTTGGGGATATGACACATCTCAGAGAACTATACTTTCTCAGTGAGGTCTTGTTTTTTGCTCACTTTGTGTATTGCTTTGTCATAGAGAATATGTCGACTAGTTGGATGTTAGTTTACAAGTCTTGTGAAATTATTTCATTAAAAGAACAGAGAGGGGAATCTCAGCCTGTTTAGTGAAGGGAAAAAAACAAACATGTAGAACAAGATGTAGTTTTGTGTACATACCATTTTACTTTGATTAAGAACTTTCCAGATGCCTTCTGTTTTTATATTTCAGGGAACTGTTAGAGGAAGAAATAAAATCTACAATGTTTTGGCTCACTAATGTGTGGCAAACAGTCCTTTTCCTGGTTGTTGTGCTTAATTTTTAAGGGGTCAGTTATTCCCCTGAAATAAATATATGCACACCTGATCTCTTACCAAAAGGCACAGGTGGCCTTTCCTGTTTCCCATGCTGCTCTTTTTCTCATAGCTCAATACTGCTCCCATGTCCTCAGGGGGACCCTCTTTGCTAACCTGTGCTCCTCAGTTTCCAGTTTCTCTGCTTGCCCTTGCGCTGTGGTGAGAGGCTGGGACAAATGGACTCAGTTTAGAGAGCACAGTGCAATTGCAGGCAGTAAGCAGCAGTTGTGTGCTGGAAGAGAGGAGGGGGAGGTGTTGGAGAGAGACAAGCTAGCCACAGCTTTAGGAAGAACTTGGTATGAGTGCGCAGAAAATGCATAATTCAGGAGACAGGGATTAAATATTTATAGGACAATGTTATAAGCATAATAAAGAGCATTTTTGTATTTTACAAGCTTTACAATGCTTTTTGTGTATTTAATTCCACTCACCCTCTATGCTTTCAAGTGCCAAAAGCAGCAGTGCACGAAAGAGGACATCATCTGGAGATTTACCTCTTACTGCATCTGAAATCTCCTTTTCTGGTAGACAAGAAGCAAGATCCATTTGTTTTTCTGTGTTTGGGTTCAAGACTGAATATTGCTGGTGCAGTACATAGTTTCCCAGAGTCATGTGGCCTGTGGGGTCCACTGTGTCAGAATGTGTGTGATCACTCTGACTCAAGAATGCCATGGGACAGCAGGACCTGAGGGTGAAGTTGGTAGCAGTACTAAATTCATTGCCTGTAAAACAAATTTAGGCCTTGTTACTTCAGAAAATTTTTTCCCACACAGCAGAGAGCAGAACCATAAATTACTCTAGATTAGGGACTACTGAATAGCACTTCTGCATGATCCCTGGACCTCAGCCATCAGCAAGGGCACTGCTGTTACTGCTGTTCAGTTTGGCTGTTGACCATGGGCTGTTGACCAGCAATTTCAGTGCAGGAGTTTGCAGTCTGAGTACTTGTATGTATTCTGTTCTGAAATTAACGGTGCCCAGTTTTAGGTGGCCATTTCGAATACGGCATTGGAAATTAAGATCTAACTTAACCTGACAGAGGTAGTAAGATTCTCTGGATATAAAACAGGCTTTGGGATTTTGTAGGCCTCTACTTTAAAAGGTTGGTATGCAACATTGTCCAAAGACACACTCATTTGCCATAGCATTATGGGACCTACTTTCAGCACTTCCTCCTTCCTTTGGATCTGCTGCTGGATTATCAAAATTCAAGTATTGATTATAGAGACATGTGAAATAACATCTTTTTGGACAGTGAGGCTTCAGATTCTTTTATCAAAATGATGCAAAGCTGAATCAGTTCCTATCCAGTTAAAGAAGCGACCTTTGGTAGTATTCCTGGTGTTCAGCTTACTTATTTTAGAAATCACTGAAGAAATACTGTGTCATGGTTTGACACTGGCACAATACCAGTGCCTCCATGAGAATACTCTCTCCCTGGTTTCTGCTGTGATCAGGAATAAGCAAAGCAGGCTCCCACTTAGAAATAAAGAGGA